TGCTCCCTCTCCACTCCTCTGGACCAGTTTTCATCAGTTTTCAGTCAAAGCAGAACAAATCTTCCCAAGAACTGATTTCCCCCCATCACAGCTCAAGGCAATCATCCAACATGACACATTTCAGCTGCTGCTGGGAAATCTGGAGGGGCTGGGGGAAGGCTGGGGTGGCCACCACACACAGCCCTGGCTGTGGCTGCTGTGTCACAGAGGCAGATTCTGCCCAATGCCTCTCCAGGGTGCTCTGATCATGGAATCCCAGGATGGGTTGGGTTGGGGGGACCTTGCAGATCATCAAAGTGACACCTAGGACACCTCCCACTGCCCCAGGAGCTCCAGCCCCAGTGTCCAGCCTGGCCTTGGGCACTGCCAGGATCCAGGGGCAGCCCCAGCTGCTCTGGGCACCTGTGCCAGGGCTGCCCACCCTGCCAGGGGAAGAATTCCTTCCTAAATTGTTCCATCCTCCATCTAAAACAAACCAACACTGCAGCCACCCTTCACTGAAATAAAAGCATTCCTGGCCCACGTTGCCCAGCAGAGGAGGGGAAGGAGAAGAGGAAGGAGGAGGGGAAGGAGAAGAGGAAGGAGGAGGGGGGGATGAATTAATTACCTGTGCATTTCCTGTCCGTGTCCTCCTTCTTGGAGCCAGTGATGGTCAGCTTGCAGTTGAAGTTCTCCTCCCAGTACTCTGCAAACCACACGTTCCTCCTGTTGTTCTCCAGGGTGCGAGAGGTGAAATAGGTGTCAAAGCCTGCAGGAGAGGGCACGGCTGAGCCCTGGCTGCCCTGCACGGGGAGCTGGGCATGGGCACAGACAGAAATGTCTCTGGCACTGCCCTCGGGCCTCCCCCAGCACCCGCACACGGCTCTGGCCACGTCAGGTCACCATGGGGAGAGAAAAAATCCAGTTTCCTCTGCATCCTGCAGGAGAATGACTCTAACTACCAGGTGTAAAACTGGGCAAGACAAATGTAAAACAGATCAATATTTTGAAAAGTTATGAGGAAAAAGCAGGGAATAGAGATGTTACCAGTAAGGAGTGGAAATAAATGATATGGTGCAGCTGACATTGGGCTGAGCTTGACACTAATCTTGCTCTTGGCCTGCCCAGAGGAGGCATCTCCATCTCAGCAGGCTTTACCAGCACCTGTGTGCCCACAAACCCCCACTGGAGCCAGCAGCACCCTCCCACAGCATTCATGCCCTACTGCTGCCCCTCTGCCCTGGGTGTGCCCTGGCAAACTCGGTTTGCACGGGCAAAGATCAGTCAGGGCACTCTGTGTGCCCACACACAGCCTGGTGTCCTTCCTCGTGCCTCTTCTCCCGTGCAGCTGAAGCCACTCTCTGCTCAGGGGGAGCAGGGGCACAGCCCTGAGCTCCTGGCACGGGGCACGGCAGCTGTGCCACCTGTGCTTGTCACTGGAGGTCTCACATTCAGTCAAAGAGAAAAGAGGAAATTTCTAACCAGGCAGAGGCCTGAGAAAGTGCTGAGAAAGAATCTAAATAAGGTTCTTTTTCTCTCTTGTTGTTCATGTTTAAGTTTAAGTTCTACCACTGTGCATCATGCACTGTGCACCAATGGTGTGGCTGGTTTCACCTCAGGACCAATGGAGCTGGTCTGCATGAGCTCTGTATAGAGAGAGGCATTTTGAAATAAATCAGAGTTCTGCTCTCTCGTCTTGTGACTCAGAGTCTCTTCATTCCCATCCTTCCTCAACAGCGTCATGTCACCGGTGTTTGTCACCTGTGTTTGTCACTGGTGTTTGTCACCTGTGTTTGTCAGACACTGGTGTTTGTCACTGGTGTTTGTCACCGGTGTCTGTCACCTGTGTTTGTCACTGGAGCTCCAGAGGTGCCTCCAACAGGTGATGCTGCTCCAGCCTGCAGCCCTGTCACAGCTCCTGGCAGCCCAAACCCTGCTGGTCCCCAGGCTCTCCAGAGGCAGCTGTACCCCAGAGCTCGCTGCCCCTGCAGCTTTGTGGCTGTGTCCTTTGTGCTTGTGCCTTTGTGTCCTCCTGTGCTGTGCCAGTCCTCCCTGTCCTCCTGTGCTGTGCCAGTCCCTCCAGGAGCAGATCTCACCCGCCTGGGGCTGCACGGGCAGCAGCAGAGCTCTGCTCGTGCCCTGACTTTCTAAGGTGTGAAGTTTTCTTTTATAGTTCTTTTCAAAGTTTTAAAGTTCTTTTAAAAGTTTCCCATGCCTTCTGATAATGTTTACGCATTTCCACTGGAGTTCTCATTAACTGTTCATGTAAATAATGATTGCTTTGCATTCTTCTTTGTGGGAGGACAGAATTGATGGTGTTGGTTGGACCAGTGTGGTTGGAGAGGTGGCAATTCCATCCTCCAATCCACTGCCACTTTTGGAATTTATCTATTGCGAGGCCAGAAATAAAACTGGCTCTTTTTCTCCTTTGACCTTACCAAGCTCCTGTGTGCTCACTCCGTGCCCAGCAGTGGCACTGCCTGCACCCAGAGCCTCTGCTCCTGCCCACCCACAACCCAGCTCCAGCCCGGGCACAGCGAGAGCTTTTTGTTGCACTGAGGAAGCCGTGGAGGAATTCAAACACCCAAATCCGAAACCTGGCTGAAGCAGACCCGGGGTGGAGGGAGTTGGGAATGCTGGCTGTGCCCACGGGAGCTCCGGGGTCAGTGATCTGCCATCCTACAAGTGCAAACCCCCGGGGAGGGGCATCTCAGGGGTGCTTCCCCACCCCTGGGCACTTGGGCAGAGGATGGGAGCAAGGATGGGAGCAAGGATGGGAGCAAGGATGGGAGCAAGGAGCTCCCCCAGGCACCCCCGGCACTGCCCCATTGCAGCTCTGCAGTTGGGGAGGCTGCAGACACTCCTTCCATGGCCAGGGGAGCTCCTGGCACTGCAGCCGAGGCTTTCCTGTGCAGCAGGTGGGCACAGCCAGGAGCTGGCACAGCGTGGAGCAGAGTCCAGGGAAAACCATCGGGCACAGCAGAATCAGCACGACAGTCCTTGCAGCAGGGACAGAGCAGCAGGAACCCAGCTGCTTTCAGGCTGAGAGGAGGCTGGGAATGGGGCCAGCCCCTGCTCTCTCTGCTCCGTGTGCCACTGACCCAGACTGCCCTGTGCCTCCCGGGCTGAGCCCGCTGCTCTCCACACACCCCAAAAACCAGCCGGGAACAGCAGCGCCGAGGCCTCCAGTACAGCCTGAAGCCAAGGAAACCTCACCCGCAGCTGGCCAGCGAAGGATGCAGCTCATGGGAAGCAGAGGCAGCAGGTTCCTCCCAGAGCAGGGGCCAGGCACAGCCCCAGCCAGAGCGCTGCAGGGAAGCCACGGGAAATGCAGGAGAACCCAGAGCGGCTGGGGCACCCCTCAGCGCTGGCTGCAGGTTCTGCAGGTTCCTCAGTGCTGGCTGCAGGTTCCTCAGTGCTGGCTGCAGGTTCCTCAGTGCTGGCTGCAGGTTCCTGAGTGCCGGCTGCAGGTTCCTCAGTGCTGGCTGCAGGTTCCTCTCAGTGCTGGGCTGCAGGTTCCTGAGTGCTGGCTGCAGGTTCTACAGGTTCCTGAGTGCTGGCTGCAGGTTCTACAGGTTCCTGAGTGCTGGCTGCAGGTTCTGCAGGTTCCTCAGTGCTGGCTGCAGGTTCCTCTCAGTGCTGGGCTGCAGGTTCCTCAGTGCTGGCTGCAGTTCCTGAGTTCTGGCTGCAGTTCCTGAGTGCTGGCTGCAGGTTCCTGAGTGCTGGCTGCAGGTTCCTGAGTGCTGGCTGCAGGTTCCTGAGTGCTGGCTGCAGTTCCTGAGTGCTGGCTGCAGGTTCCTCAGTGCTGGCTGCAGTTCCTGAGTGCTGGCTGCAGTTCCTGAGTGCTGGCTGCAGGTTCCTGAGTTCTGGCTGCAGTTCCTGAGTGCTGGCTGCAGGTTCCTCAGTGCTGGGCTGCAGTTCCTGAGTTCTGGCTGCAGGTTCCTGAGTGCTGGCTGCAGGTTCCTCAGTGCTGGGCTGCAGGTTCCTGAGTTCTGGCTGCTCTGTGAGCTCCCCTTCACTGCAGCCTGAAACAAAACCTCCCCAGGGACCCCATCTCCCCTGCTCTGCTTGTCCCAAGGCAGGGACCTCGCCTGGGCCTGCCCGTGGCTGAGTCAATAATTGGTTCAAATCCTGCTGGAGCTAACTGCTACCAAATTAGTGGTTTAGGAACATTTCTGAGCACTCCCTGGAAGGGCCAGCACTATTTCTCCACCCAAACTGTTCTGAGATTCCATGATTACCATTTGTAGGATAACATTTCCTAAGGAAAACATTCTTGTGGATGGGGCAGAAGAATATTCAGAAAGCAGCCAGGTTTTACAGACACACCACTGAAACTTTTTTCCTGTAAACCTGAGTATTTTGGTTTTCCTGCTAATTAAAAGAGCATTTCAAAGGGGATATCCAGTCCTAAGATCTACAATATCCATATGGCTGGGAAAGAGCCCCAATAAACCCTCCCCGCGTGCCAAACTCACTGACCTCTGGGGAAAGTGCTCTGTAACTTAATAACACAAAATCAATGAGTCCTGATAAAACTGTAATAGAATTCCCTATGAATTACTCTGAACCTTTACAGATTTAATAACAAATAATAACATTCCCATTGATTGCTTTAATGATCCCCCTGCATGCACAGGCAGGAATATGGATCCCTATTAAAAAGGGAACATTTTTCACCATTCTTTCCCATTGACTGGGCCAAGTGGGTGAGTGACAGTGGGCAGAGCCCTGGTCCCTGCCAGGCTGAAAGGGAATGAAAATTTTACCTGCAGCCTCACCTGAGCCCTGTGCAGCCTCCCCTGCTGCAGTGCAGCTCCTGCAGTGCTGCTCTCACACAGCCAAGGTCCTGCAGAGCCCCTGCCAGGGGCAGCCCCTGGACACTGCCCTCCCTGCCAGCCTGGGAACAGAATTCCTGGGATGCTTTGGGCAGGAGGGACCCCAAATCCCATCAGTGCCAGCCCTGCCAGGGCAGGGACACCTCCCACTGTCCCAGCTGCTCCAGCCCTGGCCTGGGCACTGCCAGGGGTTATTTTAGCAGCCAGGACTGTTCCTGCAGGTCCATCCATGCCACTGGAAATCCCAAATGCTTCTCTAAGCATTTGAGCCTTTTTTGGAATGAGCCTGAGCCAGGAACACTTGGGTGAACACGGCAGATGCTGTAAGCACACAGCTGAGCCTGTGCCTCAGCCGAGGACCTGCAGGCAGCTCACACACACGGGGCTGAGCTGAGTGCTGGGCTCAGGGGCTCTGGGCACCAGATGACCCAACCAAACACGCTGGGTGCTGAAATGCAGCAGGAATAATCACTTCTCATCCTGTTCGTGACCAAGCACTGCACTGCTGTGACAGGATTTAATGAGGCCCCAATGTTCTCCATAGTTCATACTTTAGCAAATTACTTTTTCAGCAAATACTTCTAAGAGATATAAATAGTCCTTTTATGAGATTTTCCAAATTACAATGAATCTCTTATTACTTCAAATCACTGTGATTTGATTAAATCATTATTTTTACACAGAGAAAGATGATACTACCTAAAGGCTTCATTTGTTTTCCACCACGGGATGAATATGTACATGAAGTACATCGTGATGAGACAGGGGGAAAAGGGGGAGCGTGGAGGGGGAAAGGGACAGGACCCCACACCCTGCGGAGGAGCTGGGCAAGCCCAGGTGAGGGGCAGGTACAGGTGAGGGACAGGTACAGGTGAGGGACAGGTACAGCACCTCCAGGATGCTCAGGGAGCCTCTCAGCCCTGCTGAGGCA